TGCAAATGCTTGAATGGACAGCATTATATAGTTTATGTTTAATAGACCTCAAATCACGGGGCACATACTGTATATAAAGTAAACCTTCACTCACTTTCTCTTCTTTCTTCTATCTTGCTCCTCTTGCCCCTTTCAGCAAATTGCACCTTTTTTTGTGGGATGGGGGGTGGCAATACCTTTTTTCAGCCAAAGCTTCCACCCTCACCTCGGCAAATATGATGCCCGCCACCCAAAGGGATAGCCATGTCACACATCCCAAGAGGCCTGAAGCAGTGTAGTGCACAGTGGAGCGCCATCAAGAGGCCAGCTGCTAGGGCCCAAAAGAGACAGCTGACCTCCTGATGATGTCACAAACAAGATGGCGGTTCAAGACCCACCATGCAGCATCTTTCAGTGAGTTACAGGGGGACAACACTGGATTTGCTGGACAGCTGTGTATGCTATTATTACTCAACCCAGCGAACAATGTAAGAATGGGTTAGAATCAAAATTAACCCCAGGGAGAGTTCCTCTTTATAGAAGTTGGTCAGGGAAACTGTCACGTGAGCAGCTGTGCTGCAGGGCTCTTTTGGGACCCAAAGCCCTGCAGCACATTTGGAATGCACAGAGGACAGAGAGCGGAAAGCATAATTCTCACCTAGGCAAGAAATGCGGAAGTGCTGCTTTGCAGCAGAAATAAATGCGCTAATCAATACATAATGTCCACGTATAAAAGACGGGGAGGAGGCAGAGTAGCATAACACGACCTTTAGAGTGAAGTTTTTCAATAAGTAATATGGAACTAGTACCCACACATCAACAATATTTTCCCAAAAGCTCATAGATAAAACCCAGAGAATGACGTAAGCAGGGCTTTTTTCCAGTGCGAAAATGGGGGAACTCAGTTTAGGCACCTCCTGTACTGAATGTATGTAATGGCATGGGGTGCTAGGGTGTGCTGGAGGGTCTGCTGATGCCGGCTGCTGGGGAATCTATTGTCACTGAGGGGATCTGTTATTGCTCAGGGGTCAATTGTAGCTGAGATGGATCTACTGTTGTGGGGGGGGGGGGTCTATTATTGTTGGCTGCTGGAGGGACTATTGATGCTGGCTGTTAACAGATCTATTGTTGTTGGTGGGGGACTATTGATGTCAGGGGGTATTTTGTTGCAGAAGGTCTATTGCTGCTCAGGCGATCTATTGTTGTCGAGTGATCTATTGTTGCTGGTGGGGGCTATGGTTGCTGGCTGCAGGGTATTTATTTTACTACTTTTCTCATTATCATTAAAGTGATTCTAAACGTTGAAATAAAAAAAAAAACAAGCATGTTATATTTACCTGCTCTTTGCAATGGTTTTGCAAAGAGCAGCCCTGATCTTTTTATTTTTGGGTCCCCCCCAGCAGTCCTGGCTCCTCCCCCTGCTGAGTGCCCCCAATAGCAAGCCTCCTGCTATGGGGGTACTCAAGCAGGCTCACTCCCAACATTGTCCATTCACACACAGAGCATGGCTCAGCCCCATCCCCTGCTCTCTCCTCATTGGCTCACTGGCTGTGATTGACAGCAGTAAGAGCCAATGGCTCCAGCTGCTGTGTAAGCCAATGAGGAGAGAGAGACCCAGCTCTCATGCACATCACAGGGTCGAGATGGGTCTCAGGTAAGCATAAGGGGGGGCTGAGGGGGGAGCTGCACCCAGAATGCATTAAGGTAAAAAACTTTCTGCCTTTAGAACCACTGTAACAATCGCCATACAAATTGCTTAGCACTACAAATTGATACTTGGTTCTGTACTCTCTAAAAGGGGCTATACTCAGAGGTGGGTAGGGGCTGGAACCAAGGGACAGTGCTCAGAGGTGGGTAGAGGGCAGAGACAAGGGACGGTGCTCGGAGGTGGGTAGAGGGCAGAGACAAGGGGTGACTTGGAAGGAGTGGGGGAGTACCCGCACCTATTCTATGAGGAAAAGGGCCCTAGATATAACTGTATTTATTAAATCAAATTATTAAACACAACCAGGTTAATGTGACTTAATAAGTGCAGCCATACATTATATATTGAATGTTTTTACTGCTACCAACATCCACCAAAGCATTCCACAAACGCTTCCTAGATTGATGACATCCTTCCTATCACTATCTGTTAAGAGAAAACCTCAAATCATGCACATGAGGATGTTAAGAGGATTTATTAATGCTGTGTTATTATATTTTTGGGAAAAGGATGTCAGGATGTGGGTGGAAGCATGATAAGCCACCACTACTATACAGTACATAGGTATTTTGAGTACTTGATAATCTGCCTTTTACCTTTGTTTCCTAATCACCTTCTCTCGTATGACACATCATTCTAGAAGATTAGAATACAAACCAATTTGTTTAAATATTTTCGTATAAAATTTCATTGGATTTCACAGACTTCTGTCGGTTTGTACAATTGTCAACCTGCACTGTCTTTGAATACCAGTTGCCCATGATCTAAAGCTGGCCATACACTATACAATTTTTAGATTCACCTTCAACTATGTAGTGCAAGAGCCTGCCTAATTGGATACAATTGAAAGTGTTGTTAGGTTTGACCTCCTATTATATGGTTTCTGGTAAATCTAAAGCAAAATTCTCAAGAAAAAAAATTGTATAGTGTATGGCCATCCTAAGTCTAAGTACATTTTGCTAGGCCTGTATAGCATTGACAGATAAATTGCTAATAGAACACATGTGCAACAAAGACTGTAAGAATCGCTAAGAAAATCAGCAGAACATGTTTCATTTACGTACAGCAGTGTCTCATTTACAGCATTGCAGCTCACAATTATAAAATAGTATTGCTGCTTACTCGGGAATAGGCTTACAGGAGGTTTCAGGGTTTAGCGCCACTGTAAGTTCAACTCATTAACAAAGAGCTTAAAGTAGATCTGAAGTCAAAACTTTTCTTTTTTCAGTTTTGGATAGAGGTGAGAAGGTTTGGAACACCTGTCAGTTTTTATTGCTGTCTATGTCCTTGTTCAGGAGATTCACCCTCTCTATTTGTCCTGTTTACCGATATCACCAGGTGTGAAAGTGAAAGCAAATCCTAGGAATAGTAAAAAAAGGGAAAAAACCTATGTTACACCCCAGACAATACAATAAGTGAATAAATGTGTGAAAAAATATTTATTCTGAAACAATAGTGAAACAATTAGTGAACTGCTGCTATTCTTTCCCTGAACACCAGAAAATACAAAACATAAAAAATGAGTGCGCTGTACACTAAAAAATCCTAAACAATAAATAAATAAAATAAGTACTGTTGCATACAAATATGCATAAATTAATTGAAATGATATAAGTCCACATTCATATATTAAATAATTAAAAGTCCCAAAACCCAATAACACAGTGCTGTGTGCTAAAGAAATCGTCCAACGGAAAGTGCATAGGTGTCCACAAATGGTTGACACAAAATAAAAAATCAGCCTCTTACCAGACACTTTGATTTCTTATCAAGAGATCAAATGAGCAGATGGTGTTCAGATCCTACACTGACATCCTAGTTAGCCATACCAAGCAGATGAATAGGAGATAAATGGACAAATGCAGGTTCACTTGAACAAATCCATCACATCAGACAACTCTCCACATCATGCAAGGAAAGGCTTCAAACAGAATAAGAAAAAGCAGCAAAAAAATGTATTAAAGTATTGCACTTACATAGATAAGGTGCATAAAGGCAGTGTAAACATTTAAAATTCCCACGGTGTCAGATCACTGGCCAGAACAAGGTGACGTCACAGAAAGCTCCGCCCGACTCGCGTTTCTCCAAAAATGGTGTCCTCTGGGATTGGAGAACGGAATCCTAGGAATAGAAGGAACATCTTCCAAAGGTGACAACCAAAGAGACCCTGATGACAGTCAAAGAGTCCTTCATTTTGGAGGGATTTTCTGTTTTCTGTTTATGTTTATGGGACAGGACGTGTAGGGAAATCTCCTAACCAGGACACAAATGGAAGAAAAGAAAAAACTAACAGGAGTTATAAACCTCCCTAAGGCCCCTTTCACACAAGCAGACTGATCGGATTCGCCTGACTGTTTTTCAAGCGGACCCTCCATTTTTCTCTATGGAGCAGCGGGTGTAAAAGGACATGTGTCTGTTTACACCCGCCTACATCTGATCTGATCTTGTCCACTAAAAACAGGATCGTTCCTCATCTGTCTGCTGGATCAGATCGGATACCAGTCAGATGGAAACGGACAGGCGGTCCGTTTTAATCCAACAGCCCATAGAGGACAACGGGCTGTATCTGTGTCGGCTATGCATAAGCGGAGCGGACACGGACCTGTCATCTGCTTGTTCAGAGGGGATCAGCAGGCGGATCCCCCCGCTGGGCAAGTGGATCCGCTAACAGGTCTGCCCCATGTGAAAGGGGCCTTACTCTATCCAAAATGAACCAAAAAGTTTTACTTTAGTTACCGTATATACTCGAGTATAAGCCGAGTTTTTCAGCACATTTTTTGTGCTGAAAAACTGGCCCCTCGGCTTATACTCAAGTCAACGTCTGCAGATGGCTCCCCCCCCCCCTTCCAACAGAAGGGAAACTACGGTAAGTACAGGGGTGGGCAGGGGGCTGCTGTCTCTTACCTGGCTCTGGTCCCACGACGATCCGGACCAGGAAGCGCGGCTGCTTCTTCATTCGGTTCGTCCACTGGATGTTTGCGCGGCTGCTCAGCTCCGCCTTCTCACCGGTGGCCGCCAGAACTGTAGCTCAGGAAAGGCACACAGGCGGCCAATCACCGGCGAGGAGGCGGAGCTGAGCGGCCCCGCGAAAATCGAGTGAAAGAGATGCAGGTAAGTGTGCCGTGCTTAGGTGCTGCTGCAACCACATATGCTGGCTGCAGCAGCACCATACTGGAACAGGGGTCAGCAAGTGTCAGTGGGAGGAATAGTGCCCCATCATTGGTGTCACTGATACCAATGATGGGGCATTATTCCTCCCACTGACACCAACGATGGGGCACTTTCCCCCCCCCCCACTGACACCAACGATTGGGCACTATTCCTCCCCCCCCTACTGACACCAATGATGGGGCACTATTCCCCCCCACTGACACCAATCATGGAGCACTATTCCACCCCCCACTGACACCTATCATGGGATACTATTCCTCCCCCCCACTGACACCAACGATGGGGCACTTTTCCTCCCCCCCACTGACACCAACGATGGGGCACTATTCCTCCACCCCCCCACTGACACCAATGATGGGATACTATTCCTCCCACTGACACCAATGTTGGGACACACTATTCCTCCCACTGACACCAATGATGGGACACTATTCCTCCCACTGACACCAAAGATGGGGCACTGACACCAATAATGGGGTGCTATTCCCCCCACTGATACTAATGATGGGGCACTATTCCTGCCACTGATACCAATGATGGGGCACTATTCCTCCCACTGATACCAATGATGGGCACTATTCCTCCCACTGATACTAATGATGGGGCACTATTCCTCCCACTGACACCAATGATGGGGCACGATTCTTCCCACTGGTGTTCCCACCCTCGGTTTATACTTGAGTCAATAGCTTTTCCCAGTTTTTTGTGGTAAAATTAGGTACCTCGGCTTATATTCGTGTCGGCTTATACTCGAGTATATACGGTATATTTTTTTAGTGGATGAAAACATGCACTTAATAGTGTGTTCTCACCACGCCATGATCCTTGTCCATCTTTAAATGTGACGTATTTATATTTTCAGCCATCAGTCTACTTGGAAAGCAACATATCAATTTTTAATTCCATAAAGATTTATTGAAGAAAAATTTGGAAAAACATATAAAACACAATACACATGGGTATACGATGACCAAAAGCACATGCAAGGTTAGAGTAACAAAGGTAACCATAGGGCTTAATGACAACCTCAGAAGACTATAGTCAAGGATGAATATGCATTTTCAAAAAAGAGATTATATTATTGTTCTCAGCATAAAGAAATGCACAGAAAAAGGTATAGATGAAATTTTATACATCGTACAAGATAAAGGAAAAAAAAAGGAGAAAGTAAAATGCAATCTAGTATTTTCTTACCATGTGAGTGTTACAAATCATCCTAAATAAAACAAATTGTTTCGAGCATTTAGGGAACATATTTGATGGAAGTCAAAAACTTGTTTATTATTATATGTATGGACCTTATAATGAAGGCAATATATTGATAGTCTATGATTACCGTAGCAATGTTTGTATTTGGAGAGGGGGAAAAAAGAAGAGAAAAAAGAAAAGCCAGGAAAAGAAGAAAGAGAAAGGAAAGGGGGAAAAAAAAGGGGGGGAGAGAGTGTGTGTGTGTGTGTGTGTGTGGGGGGGGGGGGGGGGGGTAAACATGTAAATATCTTTCACAATTCCACACAGCACATATAAATACTTTCAAGCTATTTTTAACTCATTCATCTTTTGGTGCTGCCAAGAGCCATCTTTGTAAATTTTATAAGCCAGTTACGGCAAATGTACTGTTGCGCTAATGGAAAAGTGACTAGAGATACACGTGGTGCTGCCATTGCGGAACTGCAACAGAAAATGCGATTACCTGGCTATCTATGGCTCCAGGTCTATCTGGGTTACAGTCCTGCAACATGCATACAGCCAGAATAACTAAACTGAAGGCTTGCTGGCACATTGACTTACAAAGCCCTTGGATCAGCTTGACAGCCTGTGGCTAGCATTTCCAGAAGGAGAGGTACGTGATATCAGTACAGGCTTCCCTTATCTTGATTAGGTCTTTCAAATAAATTCTGGCTAGGCATATATTTTACATCCCTGTAGCAAACCACCTGCTATTTCCAAAAGAGTACTCGTCTTCTTTCATACCTGCCTGTATACAGTTCATCTGCTATTCTTCATCTCTTTCCTTTTGATCCAGTTAGTGACTTCCGTGACTCCTATTTTGTACATCAGTCTCTCGCTCCTCATTCCTACTTCAAAGAAAAGTAGTTCATGAACAAAGTCAAATTGGTATGCTGTCTGCTGACAGATTTTCTTCTAAAACTTATACTTTTTTTTTTTAGATTTATCTTTTGATTTGGCTGCAAAATTATAGAAAATAAACAAGCTCTGTGTAATTGATAAAAAGACTTTTGGAACCTAGCCTAGATATAAAGATTTTCTGAATGGGCCTCCATGGCAAGGTTTAACTTATTGAAGCCACATTTTTGCAGTAAAAGATATGGGCTCAGTGCCAGATCATTGCTGGAAAAATCATTTCCTCCTGGTTTTCTCTAATACTATTTAATATAATCTGTTCATTCATGCTTTTCAAAGGCAAAAAAAAAAAACTAAAATCACTGTATTTACTGTGACTCTCAGCATCAGTGACTTTAAACCTTTTTGTTTTTTCTTGCAACGTAGTGTGGTCTACTCTTACAGAGCCTTGCATGGTCAAGAAAACAGGATTAGGCTAAAGAACACAATGATGTTATATATCATGCTCTATATCAGTGGTCGCTATACTGAAGTCTGGGGCACACATGCAGCCCTTTGCTTGCCTTATCTGGCTCTTTGCGCACTATTCCATCTACTGACTCCAGCAATGGGACATAATTCTGCCCAACAAAATCAGCAATGGGGCACTATTCCTCCTATTAACACTAATGATTTGGCACAATTCCTACCAATGGCTCCAACAATGGGGCACAATTCCTCCCACTGATACCAATTATGGGGCACTATTCCTCCCACTGACACCAATGATGGGCATTATTCCTCCCAGTAACACCAATGATGGGGCAAATTCCTCCCAATGACACCAGTGATGGTGTACTATTCCTTCCCTAATACCAAAGAGCAGGGCCGTGGATAAGGGGGTACCACCAGTCCTCCTGTATGGGGTCCAGGACAGTAGGGGGGCCCAGGCAACTAGGTGAATCGGATGTGGGCAGGGAGGGTGATCAGCACAGCATGGAGGGCAATTACTGGAACTGATCCCCTGTATAGCTCTCTCTGCAGCTGCTTAAAGCTGGCTTCTTCTCCTCTCCCTCCCTCTGGCTTTCAGCTGCTGTAGAGAGAGCCATACAGGGGATCGGTTCCAGCAATTATCCCCCCACCCCACCCCACCTCCCGCCGCACCCATCTTTCTCCCTGTACACCACGTTTCCCCCTGCTGCCCAAGCCCTCCTGTGTGCCCCCCCCCCCCACACACACACACAGTGCTGCTGGCTTCCCTACTGTCCTTCCCACCACCAGCTGCAAGAACACAATAGGATCCTGCAGGATGGAGAGTGGGGGACGGGTCTGGTAAATATGTCACATCTGCCAGCCCTTTCCTGAATGAACACAATGAGTGATCAGTACCGATCACTGTGTTCATTCAAAACTGAAGCATAGGTGTTTTTTTAGGGAGGGGGGCGGGGCCCTGTTAGGTTGGCTGTATGGGACCCTGTGGTTTCTAACAGCAGAAAGAGTTGGCCTTGTTTACTCCCACTGACGCCAATACATTTTCTTCTCACTTGCCCGAGTATAGACCCTTAAAATTTGGAGGACAGTAATCTGGACCATTGTTTAGAAAGTCTGGAGACCCCTGCTCTATATTAACTAAAAGAGTAAGCCAATCTTCAGCAACATTTTCCCCAAATCCCCCCATTAGAATTCTCTATCTTCTGAATAGTACATGCCAGTGCTCCTGTTTCAATGCTGCACCTTCTGCTATTACATGTGTAGCTGGGGGGGGGGGGGGGGGGGTGTGTGTCTCCCTGTGAAAAACACTTACAGGACAGACTGTACACTACAATTGTGCACCTCCTGGCAGCCGCTCTGGGCTGTTGAAGCTGCACTTTTGTGGAGTCCATCCTCTCCTTCTCTAGCTGAGCTCAGTAGTGGCCACTCCGGGGTGTTCAAGCTGCGAGCATGCACAATGTACTCTCTCTTTCTCTAGCTGAGCTCAGCCACTGCACCTTGAGGAGAGCATGCACTGCGCATGTGCGCAGTTAGAATAGTCTGGAGCACCCACTAGGGGTTGTATATTTCTAGTATCCAGGCGAATGGAGGGGGCCAGCTTTTTTTGGAGAAACCCTCCCTCCCCAACATGTGCATGAGTAATGGGAGAAGGTGCTGCATTTGAAACAGGATGAGTGCTGGTATGAAGATATAGAATTGCCTAAGGGGATTTTAGAAAATGTTGCTGAAGGTGAACTTTAAACATGTTAAAACTGAACTCCATAAACTATTTGTATTAGATACATTGGCCCAGCTTGGCACAATGTAAATATGCATTACTCATACCTGATGGACTGCTAGGGAAGCTGGAAATCACTGTATTAGTTGGTACTACTATAGCGACAGCTGCAGTCTTCTGGGCCCTGCTCGGGCAATATGCGAGTGACTGCCCCGCTTCAAACTGGCCACGTGGATCGGGGGCTCGTTTGGCATCACTGCTATTCATAGAATGCCTTATATATTTTTTAAAGAATACAAGGCATTCCCTGATTGGATGAGGTGAAGAGGAGCAGCGGTGACCTTACAAACTTATCCTTGTCCAATCAGATAACGCCTTGTATTTACTGAAAAAATACAAGGCATTTGCAGCAATGTCGAGTGAGTGAGTGACTCCCTTTCGTGGTATCACTATAGTAGCACCAGCTACCATGGGGCAGCACAGTGGCTAAATTGCTAGCTCCTCCACATGGCAGCACTAGGGCCGTTGGTTCAAATCCCAACCCCAGCACCACCTGCCTGGAGTTTGCATTTTCTCCCTGTGCCTGCATGGGTGTACTCGAGTTTCATCCCACATTCCAAAGACATGCTGGTAGGTTAATTGGCTTCTGTCTAAATTGGTCCTAGTATGTGTATGCTTGAATGTGACTTAGGGATGTTAGACTGTACACTCCTTCAGGGTCATGGACTGATGTGATTGTACATTATATATATGTAAAGCACTGTGTAAATTGACAACTCTATAAACCTGTAATAAAACTACCACAGTGATTTACAGCTTTCTCCAGTGGTCTATCGGGTATGAATAATTAATACTTACATTATGCCAAGTTAGACTAATGTAAATATGCAATACAAAAACAATTACCTGGAGTTCAACTATAATAATATTATGGCTTTTATAGCCTAAATATGGTAAGATGTATGTAATTTAATTTATAATATAACCTAAAGCAAAATATTTTTTATTTGAAAAGAGTGGTGAGAGATATTATGTAATTGCTTTTATAGCCTAAATATGGTAAGATGTATGTAATTTTTAATTTATAATATAACCTAAAGCAAATTTTTTAATATTTTTTGTAGATTTGAAAAGAGTGGTGAGAGATTCAAACCATTGTCAGGTAGTAATTGCTATCTGTGTCACTGGTAGGGAGATTAACTCTCTCTAATTGTCCTGATCATCTATGCCACAGAGAAAGAAAGTGAGGGTAAATCTAACATTTTTAATTGCCATATGGAGTTTCGAGGCTGGGAAGGCAGAGACACTAGTTCCCTATCAGGTCTGCTTATCTTGTGTTTGACAGAAGGCAATTGGTGGATCAATAGCC